GATTTATCCAGATGTGCCTCCAGCAACCTGGGAAATAAAACGGGAATTAAAGAGTGCCACTCATACACGTAGTGATATGTTGGGACTTTAAAATTTATTCCAACATGCTGTTTTTTTAAAAATATGCCCAGACCGAGCAGACAATCTGAGCTGTAGTAAAGGCAATATTATACTTGTAAAAACTTCTCATTCACAGTACAGATGTCATTTACAATAAGGGTCACAAACATCAAATACTGAGTATTTTTTTTTTTTTTTTTTTTGTTTTCATGTTTTTTGTGTATTTTTTGTTCAGTTTTTTTGTTGTTTTTACATCAGACTGTGCTTTTTACCTGCATTTTTTTTGCACTGATATAACCATACAGACATTGCAAGATGCAAGTGTAGAAACTGGAGTTCAAATAAAATTACAGGCAAAACTACCAAATTCCATTGGACGCTGTACATATTTACAGTACCATTTTTTGGAATGTATTGCCATTTTAAGAACATATAGAAACTTTCTACAGACTATTCCACTTACAGAATACATACACCTTTTAGAAAAAAAGGCAAATATTTATCTTACATGAGACCATGTATATTAAATTTGCGTACACATTATTATTATTATTAATTATTATTATTAATTATTTTTTACATTACATTTACTAAAGTGATCGTAAGTGCCATCATATCTCAGTAATGAAAACAGATTGGTTTTATGCCATCAGGACTGATGTTTTTCTAGTTTATTTTTTTCTTTTTTTCTCTTTTTTTTTTTTTTTTTTTGTAAATAACTCACAATATGGTTTTATTTGTAAATACTGTGCAATAGACAAAAATGTTAAAAGGAAAGGAAAGAAAAAAGCAGATGATGAACAGAGGAAATGCAAGGAGAGCAAGGGAGGGCTAGATCAAATCCTGGAGGATTTTGCATGGAAATTGGGATAATTTGAATGACTTTTCTGAGGATATTGCTTGTTCAGGTGTTGTCCCTGTGGATTTTGGACAAAACCTGGGGCAGGGAAAGCTGCAGATTTGTTGGGGAGGGGGAAGCAGAGCCCCAGCCCTGGCAGGAAGGATTTGGGATTTCTGGGTGGGAATTCCATGCCCTGCCCCAGGGCTGGGCTGGATTTGGGATCAGAGCAGGGCGTGGCACTGGTGGGACATTAGGGACACCAGGGCTGGGATGTCACCCCTTAGGAGCAGGTGAGGAACTGCATTTCCCAGTGGAAAGCTGGGAATTCACAGCTGTTTCATCATGGATTTGCTCCCCGCTACAGCTCCTGGGTATCCAGGCAAGGAGCTGGCAAGAATCCGAGCTGGCAGAGCTCTGCCCTGAGGATGGGGTGGTTTTGGGGAGCCCTCTCCTCATCCCGTGCTCTGCTCGGCCCTGCAAGACCCCGAGCTCAGTTTAGGAGCTAAATCCCTGCTGCAGCACAGAGGAGTTGCTGAAACTCCAGAGGTGCTCAAGATTGAGGTCCAAGAGCTTTCTGAGCTCTGGGTGTCAGTCCTGGTGTGAAGAACAGGGTCAGGGAGTGATTCCAGAGCTTGGGCCAAGTCCTCTGTGTGCAGGAGGATTTCTGGCTGCCAGAGCATCCCTGTGTGATCCAGCAGCCAGCCAAACAGCTCAGCAGGGAGGGAAATATCAGTGAAGATCATCAGTGAAATATCCCTGTGGGATTGGGGCTGATGGAGCAGCCACACCACAGAGGAGCAGCCAGGCCGTGTGCCCTCATGGATTATAAATTGGAGAAGATCTGCCACGAGAAAAGCAATGGATTTATTTTATTTCCACCTGCTGCTGATCAGGGAGGGCTGGGCTCTGCTTTTCCATTTACATTATTAATACATTCTCCGGTAAATTATCCCACTAATTGCTCTGCAAAGCAACAGAGCCACCCTTGCGGCCCTTGTGGGAAGCAAAAAGGGATTTCCCATCCCTGTTTTGCAGGCAGAACAGACATTCAGAGCGACAGGAAAAGCTGTGACCAGCAGGCAGCTTTCACCGAGGGTGCCGCAGGGGGAGCAGAGGGGATCCGGCTGGGAAGGGCAGTCACCGCTGAGGGATGGGAACAACCCCAACCCGATTAAACCCGGGAGCGACATTCCTGCGCTCCCCGGGCCAGAGGGACACATTTTGCCCAGGGCTGCCCGGAGCCGCCGTGCCCGCAGACAGAGATGCTGGTGCTGGTGCTGCGGGTCCCTCCCGCGGAGCTCTGAGCTGGCAGTGCGACCATTAGCCCTTAATTAGCAATTAGTTATTTTTTGGGGGGAGCCTTCTCGCCCCTTGGGTACAGCGTGAAGCACCATTTCACCCCAGCCACAGAAGCCAAACTGGGTTGGGACTCGGTTTTTGTGCCCATCTCCTGAGTTTGCGGCGGTCCCTGCCTGCCCCGCTCCGTGGCTGCCGGGGGTGGGGAAGGGATCCGGGCAGGGAATGTCCCCGGGAGCACCTCAGCCCTTTCCCAAACTCCTTTTCCTGTTTTTTTTTTTTGGCCCTGGGTGAATGGATCTGGATGGCTACACACAAACTGCCCGGATGCTCCGCAGCTGAGATGCAGAAAGCTTCGAGCTGCTGGAAATGCTTAAAAATCATGACAATGACAATAATAAACCCCCACAACAACGACAACAAAATCATCAGTAAACTAACGTTAAACTAACGTAAAGACTTTGGGGTTTTCTTGGGCTTCCCCCCTCCGCCCCCCCACCTCTTTCCACAAATGACAGAGGGGAAAAAAAAATTTAAAAATCCGCACAAAGTTTAAATAGATTAAAGATTGAAATGCAGTTACAGAAAGAAGCTGAGCAGATTTGATCTAGCCCAAAACTCACGGCAAATGCACCATAAAAACAGACACAGCTGCTGCAGTATTTTTATGTACCACATATATATATATATATATATATATATGTGTGTGTGTGTGTGAAATTAAATACAAAAAGCTACCTTGGATCAAGTTAAGAGTGTGACAAGGGGCAAAAAGTGGCAGAAGTCAGGGAAATCGCTCGATTTGATGGATGGTTTCCAGGGATGCTCACACTCCACTCCCACTCGCCCTGGGATTAAGCGCGTATCAAGCACGCACTCAAAGCCTGGGGAGGGTTTGAGCTGTGCTCGAGAACTCGAGTGAACGGAGCCGAGCTGCGGCCCCTGCTCCTGCCTCTGCCAACAGGAGCAGCTCCCGGGCTCGGGGCCAAAAAAGGGGGAGATGGGAAAAAGGAAAACCTGATAAAAGTGCTAATTAGGGGATAAATGGGTTCTGGACCTTGTTTTGGGTCAGTGTCACAGCCTTAATGGTATTTCCATGATATCTTTTTCTTTTTCTGTACTTAATTCCCTTTACAAGAAAAGAAAAGAGAAAAAAAAAAAAAAAGAAAAAATGACAGATTATTTAAAAATTTCTATTCTTTGCCCGTGAAACGGGAACAGTTCATAGCTCATCAAGTCTGGCAAGGAAATATGTTCTCATTCAGGATTTTATTTGATTACTTTTATTTTTTTTTTGTATTTTTATTTTTTTTTAAAAAGTGTATTACGTACCCGATAAACTGGAACAGCTCTGAAAGAAGAAAGAACTGGTCCACTGGTTAAATATTTATATCTTTTTCTTTTTTTCTTTCTTTTTTTTTTTTTTAATGATTAAAAAAAAAAAAGAGGTTTGTACAGATTCCATCGACCAGAAAACCCTCTGAAGTAGTAAAGAACCTGCTGGGGCAAACGACTTGAAGCTTTGTAGTTTAAAAAGTTGTGACAGAGGAATGGCTCTGTCGGGGTCACTCTGGATTTGGTATCGGATTTATTGGCAGTTGAGGTCTTTGCTCTGCCAGGGATGCTCATCCCAAAAAATCTGCTCTGGAAAAAGCTGCTGCGCATGCATGACAAGCTGATTTTGCAAGCATTCACCATTCAGCAGCAAATTTTTATCTCCCAAAACCAGCCAAAAACGGGGCCCGTGCGCGCCAGAGGGGCTGGGCTGGGGATGTCCCGCGTCAGGAAATAAATAAAGGTGACAACAGGAGCCAGAGGCACCGAGAGCCCGGCAGAGGAACAAAGCCCTGAGCACTCCTGCACCCCTGGGGCTCCCAAAGCAGCCAGGAACAGCCTGGGGTGGGGTGGGATGGGATGGGATGGGATGGGGTGATGGGATGGGATGGGGTGATGGGATGGGATGGGATGGGATGGGATGGGATGGGATGGGATGGGATGGGATGGGGTGATGGGATGGGATGGGATGGGATGGGATGGGATGGGATGGGATGGGATGGGATGGGATGGGATGGGATGGGATGGGATGGGGTGATGGGATGGGATGGGATGGGATGGGATGGGATGGGATGGGATGGGATGGGATGGGATGGGATGGGATGGGATGGGATGGGATGGGATGGGATGGGTGATGGGATGGGATGGGATGGGATGGGATGGGATGGGATGGGGTGGGATGGGATGATGGGGTGGGGTGGAATAGGATGTGGGGGAGCTTGTCCACAACTCAGACATGCCGGAGGCAGAAAGGGTTCCAGGGCTGAGTTCCTCCCCCTCTGACACCAAGGGAGGGTTTGCAGAGGCTCCCCCAGCCCAGGGCTTGCTCAAGCACAGGCAGGGTTTTGGGTGCTGCGGGAGGATTAAAGCAAAGCAAGCAGGAGGCTCGTCCAGCGAGAGACCCTTCCTGGCACGGGCTCTACATTCCATACATTCCTACCTTCTCGCAGGTAAATCTTTGAAGAAGAACCTTTTTTTTTTTTTTTTTTTAGTTTTTTTGACCTTTTTTTTTTTTTTTAGAAAAGTGCTTTGCTGGGTTCTGCAGGAGGGAGGGGTGCTCGCGGTTCGTTTTCCTCTTTTCGAGGGACAATTTCTCTCCCTGCACACAACGAACCTCCCCTGCTCAAGGAAGTGCTACTTTCAGTCACAAGGTCAGGGTAAACACGTTTTTCGAATGTAAAGCAGTTTCAACTGTTTAAAGCACAACCATAGGGATGCGAGGAATAAGAAAACCAAAAAAACCAAGCACTTTGCAAGAATTAAATAAAGCATGTAATAAATACAATTCATAAACTTCTGTACACAGGAGAAAGGGTTTGGGTTTTTTCTTTTTCTTTTTTTTTTTTAATCATTTAATCAATATAAAAAAAAGTTTTTTTTCTGTTTTGCTTTTGTTTTCAGTGCATCTTCTTCCTCTTTAAAATGCTTAACCCTTTCCTTTCTGCATCTCTCAGGCCCAGGATTACGCACACCTAAATGGCAAAAAAGACAAGGTCTAACAAACCCCCTTTCCAAAAAACTCTAAAAAAATATTCACAGCCTCAAACAGTTTTGTACATTTCAAGCAACAAAAGGTATAGAAAAAGGCACAAGTAACTGCATACATGTGGAGATAATACCAGACTGGGACAAAGAAAACCAGGAATTTTCCATGGGTTTGGTCATTCACTAGAGTGCTTCTTATGATTATACTAAAGGAAATAGTGTTGAAAATGTCTGTTGATTTTACAGAGGAAGCCTAAAGGTGGAACAGCTGGCGGAGGCTTAAGCGCTTCCCGCGTTTTCATCCACCTTTTTGTGAGTTTGACCTAAATCGGAGTGCTCTGGGTGTGGGCTGCTCCCGGAGAGGTTCCTGGGGCGCAGGGCCTGGGGGGGACCAGGGGGGGCTTCTGAGGGGCTGTCCCTGGCCAGCGAGGGGACGGCTGAGATGAAAGTGCAGGCTGGTTCCGAAGGGGTGCTCGAGCTGCCCGGCTGCTGCTTGCCCGCGGCTTTGGAGGGTTCCTCCCCGCCGGCCGAGGGCTCCGGACACGGCTCCTGGGGGGTGCTGGGGCTGCCTGGGGACACCGAGGGCCGCGGCCGCTCCGCTGGGCTGGGATCAGCCTCTGTCGCGAGCCTGTGCTCCTCCTGCTCCTGCTGGAGCTCGCTAGTCCTCATCTTCTCCTCCGAGAAGCCACCACCCGCCGGCTCCGGGCACAGGGCGTGCTTGGAGACCTTGGCCGCGGGGGACGCGGACGCTGATGGTGGCTCCAGAGGGCTTTGGGGCTCCCCGTCGCTGGTGGCGGCCCGGCCGAGCTGGGCGAGGCCGCTGGCGGCGGAGAAGTGTCCGGCTTGGAGGGACAGCACGGGGCCGGGCACCAGGCTGGCGTGGGAGCTGGGCCTGGCCTGCACCATCTGGATGCCCCCGATGGGGATCATGGGGTACGGGGTCCTGGCGAGCTGCTGCGAGTGCAGCGGGAGGTGGCTGAAGACGTTCTCCTCCCCTCGGCCAGGAGCGTGGAGGTCGTGAGGGGCCTGCAGGGGCCGGGGGCACGCGGGCGGCGGCGTGCCGGGGCAGCAGGGCGGGCTGCGCGGGTCCGTCTTCTGCGCCAAGGGGGAAAAGAAGAGCTGGGTCAGCGTGACGCGTGGGGACGGCCTCAGCAGCAGCAAGGCTCGCTGCAAGGATTGGGGTTAGGGTTTTATTCTCATTTCAGGGAGGTCGGTCAGCTCGGGGAGATGTGGAGCCCCACACCGTGAAGGCGAGGAGCAGCACAACCCACAGATTTCCCTACTGGGACAAATGTGCCCACGGTGTGTTGGGGCACAGATCCAGGGATTTGGCTTAGGCCTGGATCATTATAAAATCAGAGGTATTTGGTTGGAAGGGACCTTTAAAGGTCATCTTGTCCAACCTCCTGCTGTGGGCTGGGACATCTTTAACTAGACCAGGTTGCTCCCAGTCCCATCCAACCTGGCCTTGGGCTCTTCCAGGGACTCCCCTGGACACCCTGTGCCAGGGCCTCCCCACCCTCTGCATAAAGAATTTCCTCCTGAACTCTAGTCTGGAGCTCCCCTCTTTTAGTTTAAAACCATCAGCCCTACCCTCAGAGCTGACTCTGGAACACTGGCAGAGCTGCCAGTGTTTGCTGCCAGCCGAGCTGCTTGGGATCCCTGTCGGTGCAGGGGTTCCTGAGAGCCCAGAATGAGGTTATTTCATTTATTTCTTTATTCATTCATTTCCACTGTGCTTTCCTAAAGCAGGATTGCATCCTTCCAGCTGCTGAGTGCAGGGATGCTTCCAGTGAGAGGTGGCATCACCTCCAGCACACCCAGCAGTGGGTCCCCACCACCACCCTCATGGGGTGTTCTGTGCAAATCAAGCGTTCAGAGCCTACATTTTACCTTTTCCTCTTTCTCTCTCGGTGCTTCCCATAGTTTCCTAACGTACATCATGGAGAGATATGTGGCTAAACAGAAATGGATTAATTAGTGATGAGGTTATGACTAAATCCCTGCACAGGACTCCCCAGAAGAGGAAGCAACAGAAACTGAAATTAACTTTCAATTAAGATGGGGTTGGAGATGAAGTGTGAGGATCCACTGAAGGGCACATTTCTTTGTAGGATTATGGGGAATCATTCCCTGAGCTGGATCTCTGAGGAGACAGCAGAGGAAAGCAGCAAAGGAGAAGAGGAAAGAGAAAAAGGAAGAGCCACCAAAGGTAGTGCGTGTGGGTCAGCAGTGACCAGTCCAAACACTGCCAAATGTCACTTATCCACAGGAAGCCTTGGCTAAATCACTTCAGGGATGCTGGGAAAGCCCAAACAAATAACTCAGTGGCACAACAATCACCACGAGGAGAGACTGCCCGAAGCAAGGGTCAGTGGGAAGGGAGACGGTTGTGGTGAGACTTGGCAGTGAGCCTGGCACTGGAACTGAGCTAAGATCATCTTCAAGCTCTGTTTGGGACCTCTGGTCTTTCTGTCTCTTGTGGTCTTACCAGAATGTTAATTTTGCAATAAAAGCTTGGCTGTCCATCATGCTGATAAAGGGGAATTTTCCATTTAGGTTTTTGCTGTTGCTTTGGGGGCACACAGAGAAGTAACAGTCGTGGCTCTGGGTGCAGAAAAGGAGCAGGAAAACAAAGCCAAAAGGTAAATGTGAACAAAGGAGATGAAAGGTGGCAATGGCTGACAAGCAGGACTTAAAACATTGTCTCCTACTGTGGATTTGGGAGCTGAGGGGATTTGCTCCAAGCAGAGGCAGTGGAAGTTATCCTGACAGAAGAGCTGAAGGATGAGGGTTTCCAGAGTCCTGGGATTCACCACAAGAAGTGAAGTGACAGGAAAGGGAAACAGCATTAAAGGAAGCCAAGATTTGGTGCTAAAGTAAAGGAAAGTCTCTGAGAAGGTGAGGCAAAGACTCGGAGTGGAAGGGAGGAGGAAGGAGGCACCACAGGACAGAAGGTTAGCGTGGGCATGGAAGAAAGGTCTGGAGAAGCCCTGGCTCAGCATCTGGGGTGGCAGGGGTTCTGTAAAGGCCCCTCTCCCCCCAGGGCAGCCCCTGAGGGCTGGAGTCTCTCCCCACAGCAAGGGGATCTCATGTTCATCAGCACAGCTGAGAGCAGAGCCAGGCACTCCAGCAGGAATGGGAAATATTCCCCCACATCAATCTGCCTGCAGCTCTGGGAGGAACAGGCAATTTCCCTTTCCCGACAGCATTTGATTCGTCCAGCAGAGAGATAAAACAATGTTCTGGGCCCAGTGGGAAACCCCTCTCTGTGCTGAAGGGAGAAGTGAGATGAAATGAGAGCTGTCCAAACAGGCATTTCTCAGCAGCCCCTCCAGCAGAGCTGGCTGTGGGTGGACACAGGGCTCAGCCAGGGCTGCTGCAGAGCTGACTCTGGTCACTGAGCACTGGGAAACAGGCACAGCTCCACCCCAGCCAGGGAAACCTCAGGGATGGGAATGAAATTCCCAGGAACAAAAAGACTCTTAGTGACAATTAATCATTAAGAGGGTGTCCTTGGTGATTTGTCCCAGCAGGACTGGCTGGCTCAGGAGTGGGAATAACCCCTTGGAGAAGGGATAACTTTATTTCTGTCCAACTGAGAAGGGCAGGACTCAAATGGGTGCAAAACCCACTGCTGTCCCCTGCTGTTCTCTGGGTCGCCTGTGACAGTGGCCACAGGGTCCCTGTGCACTTCTGCATCACAGCCTCCACCAAAAACCGTGTCAGAGACCTCCCTGTGGGGACCAGAGGGCAGCAGGGCACTGGACTTACCAGCTTGGACTCGTAGAGCTGTAAGTTTTTGCCAAAGAACCTGTGAGGTAGAGGCATCGAAGAGAATATCCCGGGCTGGGCTTGATATGAGCTTGGAACTTTGTCCTCTGCTGATTTGCTAGTGCCAGGCAAGTCCTCCTTGCCAGGGGCTGGATACCTGGACAGCTCCAAGCAGCCTGGAGACAAGACTTTCTTCAGGGAGAAGTACCTCAGGGATGCCATCTCTCTGCTGGGCGACGAGTGCCTGGCAGGGGCCGCTTCTCCATCTGGGGGGAGAGCTGCCCTCGGGGACAGCTCCCTCCGGGGGGACGGGCGCCTGCTGGGCGACAGCTCCAGCCTGGGGGACACACATCTCAGGGGAGAGCTCTCCCTGCGGGGAGACAGGCGCTGGCAGGGGGACAGCCCCCTCCCTGGGGACAGGCACCGCAGGGAGGGCGGCTCTGCCGTGGGGGAGAAGCGTTTGGGGGACGTTTCGTTTTTGGTCAGTAAGTGCTTCCTCGCTATCATTGCTCTGCTGCTGCCACCCCCTCTGCCGCACTCCTGGCTCGGGGACCACCTTTTCCTCGGGGAGGTGTCTTTGGAGGTGGACAGGTCCATGCCCAAGGACATCTGTGGCCTGGTGGCAGACTCTCTCTCAGCAGGAGCCAGGTGCTCGGTGGAGGTCAGAGCTGCTCTGTGGAGGCTCAAGAAGCTGTGGCACACAGCAACGTCGCTGCTGTCTGCTGACCACTTGGTCTCCAGCCCTGAGGAGGAGGAGGAGGCCTGCTGGCCTTCCCCTGCTTTTGGGCTGCTGGAAGCAGCTTCTTGAGCTGCGGATGTTTCGGTGCCTTCCTCCGGAGAAGACGGGGAGCCCCCTGAGGAGTGCAGCAGGGGGGTGCCGTGGTTGCCTTCCGGCAGCTTCGGCACGGGCTCGTCTTGGCTCTCCTCTTCCTCCTCGTCTTCCTCGTCCTCATTGTCGTCATCGTCGTCAGATTCCTCGAGGTCTGAAAACTGGTGTTCCTCGATGGGCTCAGATCCCTCCTGCCCCTCAGAGTCCTGGAAAAGGTCTTCACTGGTTCCTGGGGGCAAACAGAACAGAGAGTATAAAACACATATTCAGGGGCTATTTCTGTGCTAAATCTGCTCACCAAACACGTGTTAGGGCCTATGATTTTAATCTGCTCACCAAACACATGTAAGGGGCTATTTTTGAATTAAATCTGCTCACCAAAGACATGTAAGGAGCTACTTCTGTGCTAAATCTGCTCACCAAACACGTGTTAGGGGGCTATGATTTAAATCTGCTCACCAAACACAGGTAAAGGGCTATTTTTGAGTTAAATCTGCTCACTAAACACATGTAAGGGGCTATTTTTGAGTTGTCTGCTCACCAAACACATGTAAGGGGCTATTTCTGTGCTAAATCTGCTCACCAAACACATGTAAGGGGCTATTTTTGAGTTAAATCTGCTCACCAAACACATGTAAGGGGCTATTTTTGAGTTAAATCTGCTCACCAAACACATGTAAGGGGCTATTTTTGAGTTGTCTTCTCACCAAACATATGTAAGGGGCTATTTCTGTGCTAAATCTGCTCACCAAACACACATAAAGGGTTATTTTTGAGTTAAATCTGCTCACCAAACACATGTTCAGGAGCTATTTCTGTGCTAAATCTGCTCACAAGCTCTAAGGGCACCGGAGGAAAGTGGATCTGGCTGCTCCTAGATCTGATCATCTCCTGCTTTGAAGCTGCAGCCTTGCCCTCTCTGCCAGCTCCACTGCTGATGATCCCAGTAGATCCCAGTGAATCCCACTGTACCCCAGTTTCAGTTCCAGCTCTGCCAGCACATGCAACCCTCGGTCCCTGCTGGGCACCTGCCACACCCTTTATTTGCTCTAAAATGCAAAAAAAACACCCTTTAATAGATGAGAATAGCAGCACTTTCACCCTTCAGTGGGGTTTGATGATTATTTGTTACGATGGTGATTCCAGAATATCCCCAGCTGCCACCAGCTCCATGTGTTGGGCCTTTTCCTGCCTAGATTTCATGACAGATCACCATCAGCAAGGCAGGATTTTGCTGAAAATTAAACAGGGTGGAAGGAACCTCTGTGGATTCTCCATGGGTAGGATAAATTCCAGCTGCGGTTTGAGGACAGAGCGTCTGGGGCTTTGTAAATCAGAGCTTGCGGGCAGTGAGAAGGATAAAAAAGTGAATTCTACAGGATTTTATGTATTTCTGCAGGTTAAAATACATCTCTGTGCTGCCTGAAGGGCCGGCAGGAGCTTTCTGAGCTGGGAGCTGTTATGAACAAAACAGCCTGGCTGGGACACTTGGCTTGAGCTAAGTACTGACATCGAAATGTTAATTAGCTAATTGATCCTGGGAATCACCTACACCCCCACCCTCACTGCCATTCTAGGACTGGGATGCAAAATAGAGAGAGACCAGTGGAACCATGGGAGGGGGTTTGGGGGATGAAAACACCCCTAAATGGAAGGCTGGGCACAGAGGAGGGGGCTGGATGGGTGCGCTGGCTGGGGAAAAGGGAACCACATGAAACGTAAACTTTAAGGCATTTAGAGATTTTTGAAGAGCTAAGATTTTAGTTAGAAATAAGCCTAGTTAAGTTAGAAAAAAGAAATAATTTTAATTAACTACAGTTAATTAAAATAATAATAATAAATGAGTAGGCCTTGATGAAGTTAGGAGTTAGTAGTTAACTAATAATTGATTGCTTGTGTTTAGTTAGCTGGGTTTGTAATGAAGAATATAAATTGACAAATAGCTTTTAGGAACATAAGACAATTGTGGGCCTCCTCTGTTCTGAAACCAATTGAAGCCAAGGAATGGGAATTCTACCAAGGGTTCATTTGTCATACTTGCATTGAAAAGGTAGAAAGGTCAGAATGAGGAAGACTTCATTGACTTCCTCATTTTGGGACCCCTCCCCATGAAAGGGACACCGACCCATTTCAAGGGACAAACTACGCATGCTTAATAGCTTTTGGAGCGATTAGCATATGAAGCAGGGAATGGGATGTACCAAAATGATGACTATTTGTATTCTGTATTTTGGGTATTCAATACTCTGCACACCTTCTCACCCTTCTGCTACCAGGAAAGCTCCAACAGCGGCGGCGAGCTCCGTGTCGAGCCCCCTGCCCAGCTGAGCTTTTTAATAAAGAGCTGAACATTAATAAAGGCACAGAGCCTGTTCATTACAGGTACGGAGCCGTCAGTGCTCAGAGGAGAGCTGCGGGTCCCAGCAGGGCCAACCAGCCTGAGAGGTCCATCGGGACAGCCGCTGGATGTCACTGCAGCCCAGAGAACCGCCCCGGGGCCCTGCCCTGCCCCAGGGGGACCCGGAGATACTGGGACACCCCCGGAGATACTGGGACATCCCCGGAGATACTGGGACACCCCCGGAGATACTGGGACACCCCCGGAGATACTGGGACACCCCCAGAGATACTGGGACACCCCCGGATCCTGGTCTGGCAGCAGAGCCCGGATGCTGCTGGGATACTTGTCTGTGACACCTGTGTGTGATATTGTGTGACACCTGTGTGACACTTGTGTGTGACATGTGTGTGACGTGTGACACCTCTGTGTGACACCTCTGTGACACCTGTGTGTGAAACCTGTGTGTGACATTTGTGTGTGATATCTGTGTGTGACACCATGACACCTGCGTGTGACAGGTGTGTGTGACATTTGTGTGACATCTGTGTGTGACACCTGTGACACTTGTGTGTGACACATGTGTGACACCTGTGGGTGATACCTGTCTGTGACACCTGTGTGTGAAACCTGTGTGTGACATTTGTGTGTCATATCTTTGTGACACCTGTGTGTGACATCTGTGTGACAGCTCTGTGTGGCAGCTCTGTGTGGCACCTATGACACTTACATGTGACAGCTGTGTGTGACCCCTGTGTGACCCCCGTGTGACCCCTGTGTGACCCCTGGCTGATTTGCAATGCCAGGCCCTTCAGGAAGCATTTGGCACCCCCAGGCTCATGGGTTTTCCCATGGCTGAGTGGCCGGGAAGAGTCTGCCAGAACTGCAAAGGGGAGCAGCTGCTCATCCTGCCTGGAAATGTCCCTGCACTGTCCCTGGGGGAGAGTCACGGGTGGAAATGTCCCTGCACTGTCCCTGGGGGAGAGTCACGGGTGGAAATGTCCCTGCACCATCCCTGGGTGTGAGCTCCAGGTGAAAATGTTCCTGCAGCAATCGCGGGGCACAGCCCTGGGTGGAAATGTCCCTGCACTGTCCCTGGGGCAGAGTCACTGGTGAAAATGTTCCTGCACCCTCCCTGGGGCAGAACCCTGAGTGGAAATGTCCCTGCAGCGTCCCTGGGGCACAGCCCCACCTGGAAATGTTCCTGCACTGTCCCTGGGGCACAGCCCCACCTGGAAATGTCCCTGCACCCTCCCTGGGGCAGGGCCTGGAGTGGAAATGTCCCTGTCCCATCCCTGGGGCAGAGCTTGGGGTGGAAATGTCCCTGCACTGACCCTGTCCCATCCCTGAGGCCCAGCCCCACCCTGAAATGTCCCTGCACTCTCCCTGGGGCAGGACAGGAGTGGAAATGTCCCTGTCCCATCCCTGGGGCAGGACAGGAGTGGAAATGTCCCTGTCCCACCCCTGGGGCAGGGCAGGAGTGGAAATGTCCCTGTCCCATCCCTGGGGCAGGACCTGGAGTGGAAATGTCCCTGCACTGACCCTGTCCCATCCCTGGGGCCCAGCCCCACCTGGAAATGTCCCTGCACTCTCCCTGGGGCAGGACAGGAGTGGAAATGTCCCTGCACCCTCCCTGGGGCAGGACAGGAGTGGAAATGTCCCTGTCCCATCCCTGGGGCAGGACCTGGAGTGGAAATGTCCCTGTCCCATCCCTGGGCAGAGCTGCCCCAGCAGGGCTCCCTGCAGAGGGATTCTGGCTAGCATTGTGAAATCCTCCTCGGCGACGGGGCTGCTGCGCCCGGGATGTTTGCAAACTCCCAGAGGAACCGAGCTCAGAACAAATATTATTCCAAAGTCCCAGCTGTAGGCTGAGCCGTGCATATTTCCTGCTTGGAACAGGAATGTGTTTCACCAGCAGAGCTGGGAGCCAGCGCCTGGCTCTGGTTTTGGGGCTGGGGACAGGCAGGAGCTGTCCTGGGCCTGCTGCTCTCCTTTCTCTTCTGGCTCCTCTCCTCAGCTGGGACAGACTGGGAATGCCAAATTTGCCCCATTCAGGGGTCAGGAGCAAAGGGAAAGTGAAGCCATCCCCAAATTGAGGAGCTGTTTGCATTTGCCACCACAAATTCCAGCGAGGGAAACATCCCAGAGAGTCCTGGGACAGCCCCAGGGAGTTGCTTTGGCCTCCTGGCAGGATCCCTGCAGGCAGGGACAGAGCTCAGACCTGACCCAGGCTTCCAAAATTCATCCTGCTGAGCTCAGGGGAGAGAAAGGGCAGGGCAGGGAGAGAGGGAGGGATGGAGGGAGGAAGGAGAGGGAATTAGTGGGAATGTGTCCTGCTGACAGCTTTGTCTGAGGTTGCCTCTCATTCCATGTGTGTTATTTATTCTCCCCACTGGTACCACCCCACTGGGCCCAGCCCAGGCAAGAGTGAGGAATTATACTCCAATCTCCTTTTATAGTAACACCCCTTGCTTTCTGCTGCCCCTTAAATAGAAATACAAACAATCAAGTGAAATACAACTCCGGTTTAAAATAATCCAGGGAGTTTTGGGAACTGCTGCTCCCTCCCTGTCCGCCCCCAGAGGAAAGCACAGCAACCTTCCTGTGCTGCTTTGTGTCACGTGGAAATTGGAGCCTTTTTATTATTATTATTTAATTAAAACAGCCCGTTTGGTTCTTGTTCTGAGCCTCTTTGCAAGGAAGAGAGAGGACACAGGGGAGGGTTCCTTGCAGCCCCTCACCCTGAGATCAGAGGCTGTGATCACAGCTGGGGTCTCGAATTTCTCATGCACCTTTCTGCCATTCCTGTGTTATTTTCTCATCCATCCAAACAGCCCTGACCATTAGAGGACAAAATCCCATTTTCTGCCTATCTCCTGGGCTGCTGTATTTACCATTGACATTTGTGAGCAATGGGGCTGTCTGCACATGGAGCAGAACGTTCCCGCTCCCAGCAGAGGCCCAGTGTGGCTTTAGCGGGTGGGAGAGAAGCTGGGAGGGAGGAAAGGAGAGCTCAGGTGAGCCCATCCCTGCCCAGGGCACCTCTGGGCACCCCTGAACAAACCACAGCAGCGATGGAACGGGAAATGGGAGCCGGGAAACGCCCCGGGGTGACACGCTGGGGACTTGCTGTGACACCAACTGCCCCGGAGCGTTGGCACAGGTGTGAGAGCCCAGCAGGGCCAGGGGCAGCCCGGGCAGGGAGGGACAGGGAACACTGCTGCCACACTGCCACTCACACCGTGCTGGCACATCCCTGTGCTGCCACACTGCCACTCACACTGTGGTGGCACATCCCTGTGGTGTCACACCGCCCACGGATGGCACACTGCCAGTGTGTCACTGCTGCTGTGTCGCTACCCGTGTGTGACACTGTCCCAGTGTGACACTGCCTGTGTGACACTGCCATGTGTGACACTGCCCCTGTGGTGACACTGCACTCAGTGACATTGCTCATGTGTGACACTGCCTGTGTGACATGACACTGCCCTGTGTGTGACACTGCCCCTGTGTGTGACACTGTCCTGTGTGTGACACTGCCCTGTGTGACACTGCCCTGTGTGTGACACTGCCCTGTGTGACACTGCCCTGTGTGTGACACTGCCCTGTGTGACACTGCGTGTGTGACACTGCCTGTGTGTGACACTGCCTGTGTGACACTGCCCTGTGTGACACTGCCCCTGTGTGACACTGCCTGTGTGACACTGCCCTGTGTGTGACACTGCCTGTGTGTGACACTGCCCTGTGTGTGACACTGCCCTGTGTGACACTGCCCTGTGTGACACTGCCTGTGTGTGACACTGCCCCTGTGTGTGACACTGCCCTGTGTGTGACACTGCCCTGTGTGACACTGCCCTGTGTGACACTGCCCTGTGTGACACTGCCTGTGTGTGACACTGCCCCTGTGTGTGACACTGCCCTGTGTGTGACACTGCCCTGTGTGACACTGCCCTGTGTGACACTGCCTGTGTGTGACACTGCCTGTGTGTGACACTGCCCTGTGTGTGACACTGCCTGTGTGACACTGCCCTGTGTGACACTGCCCTGTGTGTGACACTGCCCTGTGTGTGACACTGCGTGTGTGACACTGCCCTGTGTGTGACACTGCCCCTGTGTGACACTGCCCTGTGTGACACTGCCTGTGTGACACTGCCCTGTGTGACACTGCCCTGTGTGACACTGCCCTGTGTGACACTGCCCTGTGTGTGACACTGCCTGTGTGTGACACTGCCCTGTGTGTGACACTGCCCCTGTGTGACACTGCCTGTGTGACACTGCCCTGTGTGTGACACTGCCCTGTGTGACACTGCCCTGTGTGACACTGCGTGTGTGACACTGCCCCTGTGTGACACTGCCCTATGTGTGACACTGCCCTGTGTGACACTGCCCCTGTGTGACACTGCCCCTGTGTGACACTGCCTGTGTGACACTGCCCTGTGTGACACTGCCCTGTGTGACACTGCCCTGTGTGTGACACTGCCCTGTGTGACACTGCCTGTGTGACACTGCCCTGTGTGACACTGCCCTGTGTGACACTGCCCTGTGTGTGACACTGCCCTGTGTGTGACACTGTCCCTGTGTGTGACACTGCCCCTGTGTGACACTGCCCTGTGTGACACTGCCGGTGTGTGACACTGCCCTGTGTGACACTGCTCATGTGTGACACTGCCCTGTGTGTGACACTGCCTGTGTGACACTGCCCCTGTGTGACACTGCCCTGTGTGTGACACTGCCCTGTGTGACACTGCCCTGTGTGTGACACTGCCCTGTGTGTGACACTGCCCTGTGTGTGACACTGCCCTGTGTGACACTGCCCCTGTGTGACACTGCCCTGTGTGACACTGCCCTGTGTGACACTGCCTGTGTGACACTGCCCCTGTGTGTGACACTGCCCCTGTGTGACACTGCCATGTGTGACACTGCCTGTGTGTGACACTGCGTGTGTGTGTGTGACACTGCCTGTGTGACACTGCCCCTGTGTGACACTGCCCCTGTGTGACACTGCCCCTGTGTGACACTGCCCTGTGTGTGACACTGCCCTTTGTGTGACACTGCCCTGTGTGTGACACTGCCCTTTGTGTGACACTGCCCTGTGTGTGACACTGCCCTGTGTGACACTGCCCCTGTGGTGACACTGCCTGTGTGACACTGCCTGTGTGACACTGCCCCTGTGTGACACTGCCTGTGTGACACTGCCCTGTGTGACACTGCCTGTGTGTGACAGTGCCTGTGTGACACTGCCTGTGTGTGACACTGCCCCTGTGTGACACTGCCCTGTGTGACACTGCCCTGTGTGTGACACTGCCTGTGTGTGACACTGCCCTGTGTGTGACACTGCCTGTGTGTGACACTGCCTGTGTGTGACACTGCCTGTGTGACACTGCCTGTGTGACACTGCCTGTGTGTGACACTGCCTGTGTGTGACACTGCCTGTGTGACACTGCCTGTGTGACACTGCCTGTGTGTGACACTGCCGGTGTGTGACACTGCCCTGTGTGTGACACTGCCTGTGTGACACTGCCTGTGTGTGACACTGCCCTGTGTGACACTGCCCTGTGTGACACTGTCCCTGTGTGTGACACTGCCCTGTGTGACACTGTCCCTGTGTGTGACACTGCCCTGTGTGACACTGCCCTGTGTGTCACTGCCATGTGTGTGACACTGCCTGGGGACACAGAGTGTCCCTGCCCTTGGCATTCGGGCTCTGCCCTGCTGGTCCTGCCCCTCTCTCAGCCCCGGGCAGGGAGGGGTTGGCTTTACCTTCCTCGGCTTCCAGCTCCACCAGTGAAGATACCAACACGCCCAGCTCCTGACATTTTTTGCTGTGGGCCTTTGACTTCATGTGTTTAGTCAGATTCCCTGAAAAGAAGCAGAAAATCCATTTTACTCAAATATGGCTTTTTCCCCCCTTTCTTTTTCCCCCTCTTCTTTTTTTTTTTTCCCTCTTTTCATTAATAATTTTCCTCTTTTTTTTTCTCTTTTGCATGCTCAGCAGCCACAAGTCAAAACCCTCTGTGAACCAGACAAAGGTCCCTGAGTGTCCCCAAGTCCCTGCCCGCTGCAAATCCCCCGTGACACGAGGCCAGGTCCCCCCTTCCCTCCCTTTGCTGCTGCCCTGGGCTGCAGGACGAGGTGCTGGCAGGGCTGTGGCACTTTTGGGGGTTGTGCAGCCTGGAAAAACTGCTGGGGCACACTTTTGGGGCTGGGGGAAGAAAAGGCCTGGGCTGCTTTCTGCTGTGAGGGTGCAGCTGATTAAAAGCGGGAGGAAAGCAGGGATGGGAAACACATCCCAGTGTGGCATCAACATCATCCTCCACCCTCATCCCAACAGCCCCACCTGCCTGGAGGGGAGAAGATCCTCAGCACCACAGGGCAGAGAGGATTTATTTATTTATTTATTTATTTACCCTGGAAATATCCCAAAAGCAAATGGATGTGGCACTTGGGGACACGGGGCAGTGGTGGTGGCCTTGGCAGTGGTGGGGAAGGGTTGGGCTGGACGATCCTGGAGGGCTTTTCCAGCTTTAATGATTTTATAATTCTACAATAAAATGAGGATTTGAGCTGCCAAGAAGAGGGGAAAACCCTACATTGCCATTTTCCCCAAAAAAGGAGGGCTCAGGTGCTCTGGAAACATTCAAAAAACTGTGAATGTGGCACCTGGGGAAGAGGGGCAGTGGTGGCCTTGGCAGCGCTGGGGAAGGGTTGGACTGGATAATATTGGAGGGCCCTTCCAGCTTTAATGATTTTATAATTCTACTATAAAATGAGGATTTGAGGTGCCATATATTCCCATTTCCCCCCAAAAGAATGGCTCAGGTGGCTTGGAATCATTCCAAAAACCATGGATGTGGCACTGGGGACATTGGGCAGTGGTGGTGACCTCGGCAGTGCTGGGGAAGGGTTGGGCTGGACGATCCTGGAGGGCTTTTCCAGCTTTAATGATTTTATAATTTTATGACAAAATGAGCGTTGGAGCTGCCAACAAGAGAGGAAAAACCTACATTGCCATTTTCCCCCGAAAAGAAGGGTTCAAGTGCTCTGGAAACATTCCAAAACCAAGTGGATGTGGCACCTGGGGACATGGGGCTTTTCCAGCTTTAATGATTTTATAATTCTACGATAAAATTGCCATTTTCCCCCAAAAGAAGGGCTCAGGTGCTCTGAGAGGGCTGGGCCAGCTCAGCTCCTGGAGCAGGAGGAGCCTTGGACACCCTCTGGAGCTCAGAAACCTCCTCATGAGGCTTCCTCAGGGCCAGGGTCGTGGACGTGGGGTCACTGGGGCTGCTCTGGGATCACTCCTGGGCATCAGAGGGCACTTCTAATTCTGCCTCCCAAATTACAGGCAGGTTAATTCCACACTAATTAACCCCACTTACAGGCCAGGGAAATGCTGAACAAAAGGAGCGTTGGCAGGAGGAGGGAAAGCAGACAGGTGGAGCAGGCAAGAAAATGAAGGGGAGGAGAATTAAAGCAAAAATGTCCCATTTTCCCTTTTCCTCTCCTTCAACTCTTCCTAAAATCCCAGACTGGGATTGGGAGGGACCTTAAAGTCCAACCAGTGCCAGGACAGGGACACCTCCCACCATCCCTGGGGGCTCCAAGCTCCATCCAGCCTGGCCTTGGGCACTTGCAGGGATTTATGGGATGATGAGGAGAAACCTGGGCCGTGCTGAAGGAGGGTTTGAATTTCCCATCCCCTGCTGTGCCCTCAGCCTTGCTGTACTGACACCTGAGGGCACTGAGGAGCACCAGGCTTGGTTTTCTCACCAAGCAATTAAAAAAAAGAGGAGGAAAACCAGAATTCTCCCACTTTCTGGCAACCTCCAGCAAGCACTGAGGTCCTGCAGGGCGAAGTGCCCAGTCCCTGAGCTGGGGGGGCACAGGGGCCTCTCTGAGCCTCTCCTGCTGCTGCTCTGGGTATCAGAGATAAAAGAGCCACTATTCACTGGAGCAGAGCGTCACCCGTGGTGCCCTCGCCTCTCAGAGAGCACCCAGCTGCCACCTTGATTTCTCCTTAGCCCATGAATTATTTATTTCAGCCCGTTTTATACAAAATGGAGCAGCTCCAGCAGGAAACACCGCGAGACACAAAGGCTGACTCTATATCCCTGTGCATCTGGCACCCAACCTGGACGTGGATTCAGGGGATGTTTAATAACTCGAATGCTGCAAAACAGCTCCAAATAAGAGAGATTTATTCTTTTTAAGCTTCATGATTAACTGCCCTCAGCTCCCTGGTCAGGACGCTCAGGTGTGAGGATGAGTTCAGCCCGGCTCAGCTCCCTGCTCCAAACCAGAGCCTCTTTCCCCACCCCAAAGCAGGACTTTTGTCACTGCCCCAAACCCACCCCATGAGCCAGGAGCGTGTTCTCACGGACATCACTGCTCCCAGTGAATCACCACGGCCTGAAAATGAAAAAAAAACCCCATCCATAGTCCCAGCTGTGGCCTCATGGAGCTGGAATTTCATTGTGGGAATGAGAAGCAGCGAGAGCACAGCCTGAGTCAGTGTGCTGCAACCCAGCAATGCCCCATCCCTGCTCGGCCAAAATCCTGCCTGGAGCCCCTCCAAGGGCAGCAAACACAACACCAGCAGTGCCTGCTGTGAGCAGGGGCTCTGTGGGGATCCAGCTGAGTGGGGAGGGGACATCCCCATAGTGCTGGTGCCCCCAAACCAGCCCATAAATCCTCTGGGACATCCCCATAGTGCTGGTGCCCCAAAACCAGCCCATAAATCCTGTGGGACATCCCCATAGTGCTGGTGCCCCCAGACCAGCCCATAAATCCTCTGGGACATCCCCATAGTGCTGGTGCCCCCAGACCAGCCCATAAATCCTCTGGGACATCCCCAGCGTGCTGGTGCCCCCAAACCAGCCCATAAATCCTCTGGGACATCCCCATAGTGCTGGTGCCCTCAGACCAGCCCATAAATCCTGTGGGATATCCCCATAGTGCTGGTGCCCCCAAACCAGCCCATAAATCCTCTGGGACATCCCCATAGTGCTGGTGCCCCCAAACCAGCCCATAAATCCTCTGGGATATCCCCATAGTGCTGGTGCCCCCAAACCAGCCCATAAATCCTCTGGGACATCCCCATAGTGCTGGTGCCCCCAAAACCAGCCCATAAATCCTCTGTGCCACCAACAGCCAGCCCTGGAAAGGAGGCACCAGGAGGGAGCAGCAGGAACTCCCGAGGAGAGGGAGATGTTCAGCCTTTGCACTCAGGTCCTCAGTGGCACCCTGAGGCCACTGAGGCCACCTCAGGTGTCCAAAGGCCACCGTGGCCACCTCAGGTGTCCAAAGGCCAGCTGGCTGGACACACCATTGTGTCCCTGTCCCTGTCCCTGCAGGAGGCTCCCGGAGCCCTCCTGCCCCTCTGCTGGGGCTCAGCAGCTGCTGGGCTTGGCAAGATGTGCCAGGAGCCACCAGTGTCACCTCCTGTCCTGTTTCCTGTCCCTGGGCAGGGCACTGTGTGGCTGCTGCCCTCCTTTCCCAGCCCCCAAGGCCAACAAATTCACCTCAAACACCAAAGGACCAACTCATCCCAAGCCTTGTTTCCTTCCCCTCCAGCTCCTTTTCCCTCTGCTCTGTCTCCCCTTTCCTCCCCCTTGGTCAGACCAGGTGAAGCCGCTGGCCAAGATCCTCCTGCAAAGCTCTGGGTGCAAATTTCGCTGGAGAAATCCCAAGAAAACAGGGATGCTGCATCCTTGTAGGGAAGGGAGGCTCAGCAGGACAGAGCCTCGTCTGCCCCTTTTCATCATTTTAAGGAAATTAAAAGCTGGAGGCTCCTTTCCGTGGGCTGAGAAGCTGAGTGATCATCCTGGGAGCAATCTGTAGGACAAGGATATTTATCTGATCAGGGCTCTTCTTCCAGTTTGTGTTTTTTTAGACCCCTTAATTAACGCTGGCAGGATTAGAGGCTCGGCAGATTTCCAGTCAAATCAACACCACTTGGCCTAACTGGGAGCTGGATCTGAATCCTACAAGGGAAGACTCACAGCTACTTGTTGCCTTGCAGAGTTCTGGCTTCCAAGTTAAAAAAATAAAAAAGGAAAAAAAAGAAAAAAGAAAACCACACAGCATTGCTTCCTTGGAAACCGTGGAAAAACATCTTTGAGGGAGCAAGAGAGACCAGCAGGGAGGCTGGATTTAAATAGCAGAGGAATTTCACTGAGCCCAAAGCAGGTGAGTGCTCCTTATTGGGGATTGTTTACCAAAAACCTCCCAGATTTGAAATCAGCTGGCTATATTTAAAAAATCCCGGAGGAATTCCTGGGAGTGGTGGGCCCACAGGAGGAGCAGGGGCAGTGTGAGCACGGCTCCCATCACCCTGCCCAGAGCTCTGTGCTGCTGCTGCCTCAGCTCTGCCCGAGCTGGGAGCTCTTAGTGGGACTTAGAGCAGCTTAAATGCCTGTGCTGTTGGGAGAAAGCTGTGACTCCAGCTTCCAAAAGCACCTAAAGCAGCTTAATAGGGACTAGAAGTGATTTCACAGCTAAATTTCATGAGGGAAATTAATTTTTCTTTTTTTTTTTGGAAGAGCCATTATCATATTTGTAAGGAGTTAGAGCAGAACGTGGGGAGGGGAAGCATTGAGATTCCTGGGGAAATGATCCTGCCTGTGCTGGGGATGATCCCTTCTATTTCTGCTGTTAAATCTGATCAATTCAGCAACAACCAAAATTTTAAAAAAAAGGCCAAAAACCTAAAAAAACAACAAAGGAGTGAGGCAGGAGGCAGCACCGTAACACAAACAGCCAGAGCTTCAGAGGATTAACAATTGTCACATTCCTGTTTGGAAAGCACTTGCAAGGAGAGCAGAGGAGGAGATTGCCCTGGAGCCAGGCGGGAGAGCTGGGGGTGCTCCCCTGGAGAGGAGAAGCTCCAGGGAGAGCTCAGAGCCCCTGCAGGGCCTGAAGGGGCTCCAGGAGAGCTGCAGAGGGACTGGGGACAAGGATGGAGGGACAGGACACAGGGAATGGCTCCCAGTGCCAGAGGGCAGGGCTGGATGGGAGATTGGGAATTGGGAATTGTTCCCTGGCAGGGTGGGGAGGGGCTGGGCTGGAATTGCCAGAGCAGCTGTGGCTGCCCCTGGATCCCTGGCAGTGCCCAAGGCCAGGCTGGACACTGGGAGGGGTCCCTGGGGTGGGATGGGATGGGATGGGATGGGATGGGATGGGATGGGATGGGATGGGATGGGATGGGATGGGATGGGATGGGATGGGATGGGATGGGATGGGATTTAAGGTCCCTCCCAAGCCAAGCCAAGCCAATGTGGGACTCTCTGCACTCAGTGTGGACACTGAAGCCGCCTGGCTGCCCTCCCAGGCGAAGGAGGGTGTGGGTGGAGATGCCCTCGGGCACTCAGGGAGCTCTGGAGGCCCCTCTGCCGTCACTGAAAGGTGCTCAGGGCTTGGCAGGGGCTGCCAGGGGGGTTTGGAGTGCCCATCCCGGGCAGTGTCCAAGGAAGGGCTGGAGGTGGCACTGAGAGCTCTGGGCTGGGAGCACCCGGGACAGTGGGAGGTGTCCCTGGGGTGGCACTGGATGGGATTTAAGGTCTCTCCCAACCCAAACCATTCTGGGATTTTGCTGGGAGATGCCCTCACACAGAGAACCAGCCATAACTGATACTCTGTGTCCCAAATAAATCCTTGAAAGAGGTTTTATGTGGGATTTAAATAATGCACAGGCCTTGATTTAGGTCTCAGTGTGGAGCTGATGTCCCCAGGTGAGACTTTGTGAGGAGGAAAGCTTTCATTTACAGAATTCAGTGGGCAGAGGAGTTCAATTTTTGTAAAAAATCGATTATTATCTTTTATCCTTATTGACATAGGGATTAAAGGAGTGAATTTGCACATGCAGCCTGCTTGTATCCACCCAGGCCATAAAATATCAGCCACTTCCTGGATCAAACTTATGCCTTGCATCAGCCAAATCTGATATTCCAGAAAGGCACCCGGGATGTGCCGATTTCCAAACGAGCAGAATTCCCAGTGAGGCTGAGGCTTTAATGCCTGCACTGGCTGCACAAAACACCCGTGAACATTTCCCTGGAGCTCAGCAGTCCTTTGCTTCCAGCCCTGATTCCTGCATTTTCTCCCCTTTGCCTGGGGAGCTGCAGAGCCTTTGGCTCAGTGTTTCCTCTCCTGGCTGCACCCCTGGGACATTTTCTGTCCCTGCCTCACATCCCACACGATGTCCAGGCAGGAAATCCCTGTGGGTAACTCTGTCCCCATCCCAGGGGACGTTTCTGACGTCCCCAGGAGCACAGGGACAGCACCCAGGGGTGCTCAGCCCCTCCAAGGGCCCTCGGGGTATTTTGGGGATGTGCCCATCCCTGTGCCCTGTTCTTCCAGCAGGGAATTCTGCCAGCTGTGCTTTCCAGAGGAGACTCAAGCTGCTGGAGCTGCAATAACAACAAACTGTGCAGCCCTTTAAGGGCTGGGGGGAATGCATTTAATACATTTAATTTAATATATTTAATATATTCACATGTGCAGTACCCTCAGTGCTGTCAGGGGCTGACTTAAGGAACTGAAAATGAATTTATTGAAGGCTCTGGCCAAGCAGTCTGGAGTCTAGGAAGTGTGAGTGGCACAGACTGTGAAATGGGTGTCTCCAGCCAGCAGGACCGTGTCCTTCCACAGCTCCCTTTAAATTAAAGTGCAGCTCCTCATCCTCCTGACCTCAGGCAGAGGCAGCAGCAGCCACTCAGAGCCGTTCCAAACATTCTGTCCCAAATTTCTGAGGAAGCTGGAGGCAATTAGGACCCTGTGAGAGGGTGATGTGGGTCTGAAGGAGGACAGAAAATAACTGGAAAAGGGGAATTGATGTGACAGCACTGCCCCTCATCCCAGTCACCCCGAGCAGCGGTGACAGAGGGGACGGGAAAAGCTCTTCCGACCTTCCTGAAAGGGAAAACTGCTTTTTCTCTATTTCCTTCCTGCCCAGAAAACAATGCAGAAGCTGCTGAACCTCCTTGAAAGACCCTCTTGGAGGCCACAGTCACAAAGCTCCACTGCAGTGGAGGGAGAGACACCTCATTAAAGAGGCACCTTTAGATCTGCTCCAGGAACACCGAATCAAACAAAGCTCTACAAACCAAATTTCCAAGGCTGTTGTTCCCATCAGCTAAGTGAGCACACACACCAAAAAAAAAAAAAATTAATCTCATGGATTTGCTTTAAAATAATAAAAAAATAAACTTTCCCTGTGGTTCTGTAAGCCAAAGGAACAGCTTTGCTTCCAGCGACAGAAAGGCACAAAAAGCAGAAAATGAGTGAATAAGGAGAAATATTTATAGCATTTTCTGTTGCAAAAGTTTTCCCAGTTCTTGGAACACGGACATGGATTTCCTAGAGTGGGAGGTGGGGGGGGGGGGGGGCGAGGTACATTTTAACCAGATAAAGCTCCTCATTAAAAAAAATAATAATAATAAAACCCCATTTAACTGCTTCCAGCCTATTTGAGAGTTTAAAGCATTAGATCACGCTGGAGAGATCCACCCCAGCCAAAACGAAGCCAGCTCCACAGACCTCCCCCTGGAGCTGATGCTGAAGGCTAAAATTAACTCTGGGAAGCTGATTTCTAAAAAAGCTGCGTGTTTGTGCAAGCGCAGCCCGGCGGGAGGGAGAGCTGCAGCTTCTGCATTCTGCCAACCCCACCCAGCCCAGGCAGCAGCCAGAGCCCCCCAGACCAGCTGGGAAACACCAGCCCTGCGAGCCCCCGCTCCTCGGGGTCACTCGAGAGGAACAAGAGCTCGAAATTACTTTAAAAAATCACTGGCAGGGGCATGAGCAAAAAAAACAACAACAACAACAAAAAGGATTTTCTTCCTGCCCTTTCCGGTGATTTTTTACATGATCTCAAACTCTCGTTGGTAATGACTCTCCATCACCACTGATGCTTTCATGAATGCACACAGAGCTTTCCCCCACTTTTCCAGAGCTCCCAACCAGCTTTTGTCCCGTTTTTGGGCAGCCTGAGCACACCCCAGGGCTCTGCCCTATACCCCTGTACCCTTCCCAACTCTTCCAGAGCTCCTTGTGCCCCCCAAGCAGCTTTTGTCCCATTTTTGGGCAGTCTGAGCACGCCCCAGGGCTCTGCCCTTCACCCTTCCCAACTCTTCCAGAGCTCCTTGTGCCCCCCAAGTAGCTTTTGTCCCATTTTTGGGCAGTCTGAGCACACCCCAGGGCTCTGCCCATCACCCCCTCCCAGCAAAGAGCCATTCCCATGCAATTCCAGGTCACCATCATGCAAGGATTTGTCCATAAATCCCCGATCCAGGGGAGCTCTGCCCATCCCATGCCCCCCAGGCAAACGGGTACTTTGCCACTGAAATCCCAACAGAGTGTTGATGATTTTTGTTCTGTGGAAGGAAGCATTTCCATGCTCCCTTGCCCATGCCAAGCAGAAGAAGGGAAGTGTCTGTTTGCCATGTGCAGCCAGAGCTGACAGATCGTGGCCTTCAAGGGAGCAGAGATGAAGAGCAAAGCAGCCAGAGAGGTGGTGGAGAGGATGGTTTGATGCCATCATCCTGGGCAAAAGCCCGACAGAAGCATGGTGGGAGTGAGGTGAGGTGATGGGAGAGGCTGAGCGGGCTCAGCTCTCCAAGGGAAACCTCAGAACGAAGTCAAAGCAAGAGGGGACGAGAAAGGAAATGAATCAGAAACAGCTCCAGGATGGGAGGGAGAGGAAGAATCGTCGCTGGGATGTGCAGCATGAGAATCTGGCCTCAAACCCGGTATCACTTCCCGTTCTGCCCCGGTCCCAGTGACCACCAGCACGTTGGCACCCAGAAATCCCCGCCAGCCTTCCCAGCAAAGCCACCGGCTCCGGGCACTGCCCGCCCCGAGTCACCCGCTCTGGCCACTTCCCTCGTCCTGCTCTGTCCCCTCCGGGCCAGCACGGGTGCCACCGAGCCCGCAGCACGCCGTGCCCCTCCCCACAGCCGCGCTGTGCCCCTGCCCGGGTGACACCGCTCCCCCCGGGCTGCTGAGCCCTCCCAGCTGTGCCACCCTCTGACACTGCTGCAGCTGCAGACACCGCGTGTTTGAGAACATCCTGACCTGACAGGGACCCACAGGGCTCACCCAGGCCAGCTCCTGCGTGGGGCAACCCCCAAAACCCCCCATGTGCCCAGAGGCATTGTCCAAAGGCTCCCTGAGCTCACGGTTCTCTGTCAGGCTGTAACGAGAATCCCAGCCCCACGCGTGCTGCTGCCTTCTCCCAAGACTTGCTGCCACCAGAGATTTGTCCAACCCATGGTGCCAGACCCCTGCAAGAAGTTAAAGGCACCCGGGCACCTCTGGCCCGTTTGGAATGCCCCATTTCTCTTGGAATAGCTTTTTTTTTGCATGTGGTTTGCAAGCTCCTGCCAGCGCTCACTGACTCCCTCGCTGAGGCCATGGCAGAGCACACCTGGTGGCATTGATGGCATTGATGTCCTGGGACGAAGGCCTTGAGGGAAAAGGTCCATTGATGTGATACAGAGAATGTGGAAGCCACATGCAACTGCAGAGGATGAGAATGGGCGGATCTGGAGAGCACCAGCAGGAAAAGCCCCCCAGAGCCTGGATCCAGGGGCTCAGCCAGGAGCCTGGAGCTCCTGCTCTCGCTCTGGGGTGGTTCTGCTCAGAAAGCCCTGCCAGAGAAGCTGCATTTCAGGACTTTTCCCTAGGAGAAGCACAAGGAGGATGGCAGGGATGCTCTGCTGCAGCCTGGCTTAAGGCAGAGCTGCTCCTCTTCTGGAAACACCAACAAATTTCCAACTCCCTCATCCCCCTCCCTCCGTCTCCGGGGCTTTGGCAGCCCCTGGGAATGCCTTCCCTCGCCCTTTGCAGTGCCCCCAGCAGCTGGCAGAGCCACTGCCCTGAGCAGAGGAGCTGGGAGCTGGCTGTGGCTTACCTTTGGTTTTAAAAGCAAAGTTACAGTACTTGCAGACGTACGGCCTGACGTCTGTGTGCGTGCGAATGTGTTTCTTCAGCATGCTGGGTTTCTTGCAGCGAATTCCACACTCCTCACAAACATACTTCCCTCTTCCACGGCCTCGCACATACACATACTCTTCGTTTGATTTGTACCTATGAGCAACAGGTGGCGTGATAAAGGGGAAAAAAAAAAAAGGAAAAAAAAAAAAGAAGATTCCCACCTCAACAGAAGAAGTCACAACTTTGCTGGGTTAGTTCAGAGCGTTTTTGACACCACAGGTCTTGGTGGCTGTTTGGTAGCTCTGGGTAATTAGGCTAAATGTGAATTATCACCCAAAGCTCGTGCCCAGGTGTGCTCCAGATGTGTCCAGGATGTTCTCGTGTCCTGCATCTGCTGCTCTGTGCACACCAAGAGCCCAGAGCTGAGCTGAGTCACGGGGACACCTCACTGTGCTGGGGTCCCCCACCCTCAAACACAAACTGAGGCACTCAGGCCGGGCTGGGCAGGTTTGGCCCAGCCCAGCCCAGCTGCCGCTCGCTCCCTGCCATTTCAAACATGCCCAGGCTGCCTCTGCAGGGTGCTGGGAAAACTCATCCCAGCCAAGCTCCTGGGACACAACTCCCACCCCAGGCTGCAGCAAGAGCCACCTGAGATGTCACTGATGCCACCAGCCCCCCTGAGATGTCACTGAATGCCACCAGCCCCCCTGAGATGTCACTGATGCCACCAGCCCCCCTGAGACGTCACTGATGCCACCAGCCCCCCTGAGATGTCACTGATGCCACCAGCCCCCCTGAGATGTCACTGAATGCCACCAGCCCACCTGAGATGTCACTGATGCCACCAGCCCACCTGAGATGTCACTGGATGCCACCAGCCCCCCTGAGACGTCACTGATGCCACCAGCCCCCCTGAGATGTCACTGAATGCCACCAGCCCCCCTGAGATCCCCGCACAGCCTGAATGAGACACCCAGAATGGACACAAAGAGAAGAAAATATCCTTTTTTAAAAATAAATAAATTGTGCTACCACCAAGTGTAAACACTGCAGACTCCAGGCTCTTTTATCTTTGGCACAGGATCCCCATTTAGGTTTACCCAAGAGAATGAGATTGGTCATCCTTCCTTCCCATTATATATTTGATTTTCTGTCCAGGCATTAGTGCATGGGGAAGGCTGCAGGATGGGGGGGTTGAAAAACCCTTATAAGACTGAGACAAATCTTTCAGCCTCCTGCTGCTCAGCAAATGAAGTCTGCAATTTCCTGTACTTGCAGCACAAGAAGAATAAGGCAACACGAAATTGCTCCCCTCAGATCTTAAAGAGGCCAAATTTTTGAAGCATGGCACTTCTTGCAAGTCATTTTTCTACCCAGGAGGAATTAAGTCTGGTCTTCAGAAATCTCCAAACATCCACCCTGGAAAAATCAGGCTGTCTAAAGCCTCTTAATAGGAGATCCAAAGGCATCCAACCCCATCACTCAGGTTTTAGCGTCTTCCCAGTGAAGCCTAGTCCAAACCAGAAGGGTGAGAAAACAGCAGCCAGACTGAGGAGAAACCTGAACAGAAACAGCTGCACTGGAATAGATTGAGCACTTCAGTAAGTGAATATATAATAAATACTAAAACTGACGTATTTGCAATGTAGAAAAACAAGGGTCATTTCAAACTGAGTGAAAAAAAACACACAAAGAGCGGCCCAGGACTGAGAGGATGGGAATGGCCTGCACAGGGTGCACCCATGGACACCCCTCTCAGCTGCCTGTAGGGTGGGGTTAGAGTGGGTGAGCCCCACTGCAGCACCCCTGGATCTCCCCACACTTTCCTCCTTTCCCTCAGGAAGAGCCCAGGCAGTTCCAGCTCCGTGGGGGTGTTTGGGGGAGCTGCAGCTGAAATTCAGGCTGATGCTCCTGGCTCTGAACCCTTCCCAGTCCTGGCTGAGCCCCTTGGCTCTGCTCAGAGCTGTGGGAGATGCTCAGAGGGGGATGAGCCGCTCCTGAGTTCAGGGGTGAGGTCACGGGCTCAGCTTTGGACACGGATTAGAGAAAAGACAGGAAAACTCCGTGTTCAGACAGCCCCAGTCTGCACAAACCAGGCTTTGGCATCCAACAGCTCCGTGTGGGGGCACAGTTTGTGCTTCTGTCCTTCAGCGTCAGCAGGAGCTCTCTAGATCATCACCAGGGTCCCCTGGTGCCCCAAATACTTCATTTAATCTGCTGTGACTGAAGTCACAGCAATGCCACCCCATTGTGCCATTCCCAACCATCAAAACCCCTCCAAAAAACCCTAAAAAACCCCATCAAAACCCATCATCACACGGTCCTGCCAAAAAAACCCTAAAAAACCCCATAAAAACCTATCATCACAAGGTCCTCATTATCTGGCCAGAGGGGACTGAGCTGGTGTCTGGAGAGCTCACACAGTGCCCCAGTTTCCATCCCAGTATGCCCAGCTGTCTCCATTTCACCCTAAAGGATTCAAGGGCTGACATTTGTTAGGGGTGGTTCATGTCCCTCCTTTGTTCAGCCCATGTTAAAGTAGCAGAAGGAGCAAAAGGAATCAGGAATCCTGATTTTTTTCTGTTCAGGTTTGTACTGCAGGCTTCCTCCTCTGCCTCCTTCCTGCCTGTCAGGGAACCAGCTGGCCATTTAAACCTGGAATTGCTCCTTTTTCACCCTTGTACCTGCACTGCCCTTAATTACACCCTCCCATGGAAATGTTTGTGCGTCCCTTCCTCAGCCCCGTTCAAGCCATCGGGGCTGCATTAAAACAGACGTGATTTAATCTGGAATTAGGCATTGCACTTTATCTGACACTCTGCCAGGCTTCAGCACAGATATTCCCCCACAGCTCCCGGAGACCATGTGGAAAACAGGCAGGGAGAGGGGAGAGAGAGGAAAAACAAGTTCATCTCAAGGAACACCAAACCCAAGAGGAAAACAGCAGGAGGTGACAGTGCCATAACCCAGAGGAGGCTCTGCAGATGCCATCTGCCTGCTCTGAGGGCTGCAATAGATTTATGGATGTAATTCCTTCAATGTGATCCCGTTTTCCCTGCTCCTGTGCCCATGTGATTTGCATCAGAAAGATAAATCAGGCACAGCTCACTCCGTGTGAGGATTTACCCCGGGCATGGGATCTTCCCTGCTGCACAAGGTTTGCTGCAAACTGAGCTGGGGATAGCCACAGCTGGGGTTTGGGCAGCAGTCTGGGCTTCTCTTCCAGAGCCCTGAGGAATTCCTAATCCTGTTTTTAGAAGCAGTCTGGGCTTCTCTTCCAGAGCCCTGAGGAATTCCTAATCCCAGTTTTAGGAGCAATCTGGGCTTCTCTTCCAGAGCCCTCAGGAATTCCTAATCCCATTTTTAGGAACAATCTGGGTTTCTCTTCCAGAGCCCTGAGGAATTCCTAATCCCATTTTTAGGAACAATCTGGGCTTCTCTTCCAGAGCCTTGAGGAATTCCTAATCCCAGTTTTAGGAGCAATCTGGGTTTCTCTTCCAGAGCCCTGAGGAATTCCTAATCCTGTCCTTAGCAGCTCCCAGCCCTGCAGTGCCACGCTCCCCTCCAGGCTGGAATGATTGGGAACGCGGGGGTTAATGGTCATCACGAGCCCAGACACTGATTTAGGGAGCAATCCTTTCAAACACACACACAGACAGCAAAACTCAGCTCCCTGATGCATTTTTGAGAGGTTCTTTGGTGAGTTCTGCTGGCAGGTTTGGGGCCAGCACTGCCAACCCTCCTCGGAGCAGGAGGAGCTGGCCCAGCCTCGGTGGTGCTGCTGTCACCCAGCAGCCCCAGAGTGGGCCCAAAATCCCTGTCAGGAGGCACAGGAAACCCAAGAGTGGGAAAACACGAACCTGGAGGAGGCTTTGTCTCAGCTCCTTCCCTCCAGCTGAAACCCAAACCCGCGAGGCATTCATTCCCTCGCAGCCTGGAGGAGGTTCAGCTCTCGGGATCGGCTGCTACAAATTCCCCAGCATCATTTTTAGCCACAAACACTTCTTTTTTCTTCCCCTCAGTGCTGTGAGCCACATCCAAAATCTCCATGTGGCTGGAAACCACAGGATAAACCCTTGGACAGCCAGGGGGGAAGGAAGTTTGGTGCTTGGCAGGCGGGGAGGCAGAGCAGGTTTCTGGGGGACTCATTGCTCACGGCTGGGCTGAATCACCCCTTCCCTCCTTGCTTCCTTTTTCAAGTTTTTTTTTGTTAAATCCCACCATGATTTTCCCTTGTCCTGCAAAGGTTTTGCTGATGTGGCCTTGCTTGTCATAGCCTGGGCACAGTGGTTACATTTTAATTAATAAAATCTTAAAAATTAGCCTTAATTCTGTGAATTTTCATGATTTGAAGCTCAGTGTTGTATCAAAGAACAGGCCTGGAGGCTTTCACAGCAACTGAAAGAAGTATTTCCTCGACTGGTTTTGACATTTGATAAAATCCCTTGTTTGCTTTTCGGATTTTGGGTGCACAGGAACAGGAATGGGATATTTGATCCCTGTCCTGAGCTGCTGGGTTTGGTTCCCTGGCAAGTGAACCGAGTCAAGCTCCGGAGTTTTTGCCTTCGGTGTCAGATTTTGGGTTTGTTGATGGCACATTTCATCTGTCACCAGGCTGCCCACTCATCTGGCTTGGCTAAATCCTTGGGAAATTCCTGACAGGCTGCTCTGGGATTAACTGATCTCATCTCTGCTTTATGTCTCCTGCAAAATGTGCCAGATCAGGGATAAATGTCTAACTCCCACAGTGCCACTAATTGCTGATCATTAATTGCCTTCCTCACAGCTCCGTGGTACAAGATGACTGCTCTGAAGCGGAGAGTGCAGCAGGATTCCTCAGCCTTTCCCGTGGGATCCCTGGGACTGGGGATGGCACACACACAGGTGTGTCCTCAAGGCCAGACACTCACCCTGAGACGTCCCCTCGCTCGTGCCAAGCTCCAGCAGGGCAAACAGAGGCATTCCTGTACAAACCCCACAGCAGGCAATGCCACCCCCAGGTCTCTAAAAGCACCACAAACCACTCCAGCATCCCGATTTTCCAGACAGGATATTGCACCCGGACAAACAAGGCACGACAAAGCTGGGTATGGACCTGGGAGGAGCTGGCACAAAATCTGCTTCTCCCTGGCTGCAAGAAAGGATCCCTACAG